GCAGTAGCAGTAGCAGTAGCAGTCATTCCCCACGCAGCGAAGTGTGTCGTTCACCTAGCGAGCTGACAAACGTCATATTTCATGATGTCCGGCATCTCATCTGACTCTATTTTGACCGTAGTCAGCCTGGTGCAATATGAGTAGCAGTAGCAGTAGCAGTAGCAGTAGTAGTAGGGCAGTGGCAAGATCATGTGTGCTTGCTCACTTGGACAAGTTGCTAATCGGCGGGAAGATTTTGGGCATCCATCCGGGCAAAGTTTAACAAGTGGTCCATGCGAGGTGTCACATTTGACGTCGACGCCAATATCGAGGCATGAGTCCTTGCAAAGCTTGCCACATGCTATGTTTGTATCCGCCAGGTGCCCCACTCCATGATAGCAGACTTGGATTCCTATGCGCCAGAGTCTCAACCTAATATCTAAGCTCGTTTGGACTGGGCATGCACACGTTTGTCAGCTCTTGATCTCTTCCGATGCGCCAGGCTGTGGATGCCGTGGTGCACTGCGGGAAGCGTTCAGCAGAGAATTGCTCCACCGGTGACGGGTCCGAATGAGGCACAGTTCAAGGCTCAAGCGGCTGACATGCGAACATGCTGTGACGGTTGGACGGGTGCTGTGGCAGCGACAGGAAGTTTGCTATGGAAATGTCACCTTCGGCTTTGAGCTCGTGGCTTACCGTGTTCTGTATCCCTTCGTTCTGGAGGGTTTAGGGTCTAGAGCCTGGGCTGCGTCGGTGGCCGTTGCCCAAGGACAGGCTCCTTCCTCGGGACTCTGGGAGACACGGTGGGTGGCCGGCCCAGTCCAGATGGACTGAGGAAGGATGGACAGAGCAGAGACTTCGGCTGCAGGCTACGAAGTGACAATCTGCCATCCGCAGCTGTCAGATGGTCGACGCCTCGAATCTCCGGCCCCGACCGTTGCTCTCTTCTCTTCAAGCCTCGATGCCAAGGCCGCAAAACTGCTCGAGCCACCCGGAAGCACCAGCACGTACTTGTCGAGTTTGCAGACAGTACATGACAGTACCTTTCGATGTACCGCCATGTGTGTGTGTGTGTTAAAAGAAGTGGGTGACGGCGCGAGAACTTCAACGAGACTAGTTACTCGTTCAAACCAAAGCCTTAGAACCTCTGCTGGACACCAAAGTCCCGTTATACTTGGGCGATCGTCTGTAGCAAAGGTATATCAGGACAGGCAAAATGCCCACAACATCTTGCAGCCTTCGACGGATCAGCCCCAAGGTTTGCGCCGATGCCAAGCAAGGCTTCGCCTATGGAAAGCGATTGGCCGGAGACTCAGAATTCTCAAAGGCCGCTTCCGACAAGACCTCGGCTGAGGCCTACGACTGGCGCTTCTGGGAGGCCTGCGGTAGTCGGGGTCACATCCACGTAGAAACCCGGAAGCCACAGGTGGGGCCGTCGAAGACGAAAGTGGAACTGGACATGCTTTTCCAGGCCTTTTGAGCCTCCAGTTCCAGCGTTCCTCGGCCCCATCACCCTGTCCCTCCAGGCGCAGAGCGTCCTGTACATGCCAGCCCGGAGCCAAGAAATGGGAACGAATCGGCAGGACAGCTGCTGACCTTGCGTCAGAGGTTTGGGACAGCATGCAGCACATGGCTCCATCCTCGGACAAGGGAGTGGTGCAGTGGTGGAGGGGATGTCATCTTGACACGTCAGGTCATCAACAACATGCTGAGCGCATTTAAAGCTCATGCAGAGAAGATCTACGCCGAAAGGCGTGACAAGACGACAGTGCCCGAACAGCTGGAGAAACGGTTCAGATTGACGAGGCTTCGCACCATTTGAGTATCGGACAGCAACAGGTCAGCTGCAAACTTACGATGAAAGTGCTCGATATGTTTAGTTCAAGACCGGAACATTTTTGAAGGGTACAGAGCAAGGGTTGCGCTCAGGGTTACGGGTTAAGGGTAAGGGCTTGCAGTTCAGGGTTTGGACTCGCAGTGAGGGTAAGGCAATGTTGAGGATGTCGGCTAAGGGTAAGGGCAAGGGAAAGGAAGGGCTGAGGGTAAGAGCGAAGTGAAGGGCCAGATCTTACTGTAGGATTGAGGGCGGATAAGGGTAAGGCGGGTAGGGGCTGCGGAAGGGCTAAGGGCACGCTTCAGGATCGAGGATGAGGGCCATGGGCCAACGGTAAGGGCAAGGGTCCGTGGAGGTTAAGCGTTATGGCTTACGGAAAAGATCCACGGTAAGGGCTGAGGGTCCAAATGACGAGGAAAGGCTACGCAGGAGGCTGAGGGTGGAGGTTGAGGGCAAGGGCTAAGGAAAAGGCCAAGGGTAAGAGTGGTTTACGCATCCCGTCCCAAAGGGCCCTCCGCTTAATGATACTCTGAAGGGTTAGGAGCAGGGGGTGGTCAGAACTGGGCTTGAAACTGTTTATGGGGAGTTTTGACGTTGCGGGAGGGTTGAAGATCAGTGCATGGCATGTGCTGCTTTTTTCTGCGGGGAGGGGGATTAGGGTTTAGCCTGGTTCAGATTCTGGGCCATCGGTTTATGTAGCGTTTGTGCTGCTTAAAAAATTCCAGACTACGGCTTGAGCAGGCTTAGAGCTCAGAGCTAGACTGGGATGGGGTCAGGATTTAGGGCTTTCAGGGAGTGGGTTAGTGTGAGGGTCACGGATGACGGTTTCGGTGGGATGGAGAGCGGAGGGTTTGCGGCTGGTTCAGGCTCACGCCTGCGCACTGACGGGCGGGTTTAGGGTTTAAAGGTTTGTTGGGTGGCGTGTTGTTGGCAGGCGTTCGAGTGGCAAGAGTTTGTGAGATGTAGAGGCCAGATAGGGCTGGCTCAGTGTCAACATTGAGGCTGTTCGGGTTTGGCGGGAAGACAAAGACTTCGGGCTAGGCCGGGATTTAGCCGAACCAGCGCATCTTTTTGTTGTTGGGATTGTGCGTTTTTCGGCGCAATGACTCGAAATCCCCCTTAAATCCTGACCCTATCCCAGTCTAGCTCTTAGCTCTAAGCCTGCTCAAGCCGTAGCCTCAATGTTTTTGAGTGCCATTACTTTTTACAATCGTTACTACTCCTACTACTGTCTATTGCTATTACTATTACTACTACGACTGCAATTACAATACCATTACTCTCACTGATATTTTTACTGTTGCTAGTACTAGTATTAGTACTGGTACTATTACTAATGCTGGTACTGGTACTGGTACTAGTACTAGTACTATGACTACTACTATGACTTTTACTGTTGCTATTGCTTTCTCTATTGTTAATATCGTGAGTATTGTTACTATTCTTACTATTATTACTACCCCGAGCTGTGTGTGGGGCCTCTGCTGGGGTAGGCTCAGGGGTGCTGTCACACGAGTTGGCTGCGTGCAGTAGCAGACCAACCCACACAGGCCGCGCTGGGTCTCTCGCTACCGATGCTGCTGCTGCTGCTGGTGCAGATGTACACTACCGGGTTCCCATGTATGGCGATCGCTGACCTGCTGGGCCCCGCACCTCATGTGCGCTGATTGCCTGATCGCCCTGGGCTCGGGGCTACCGGCTTTGATTGCAGGGACACTACTCCACTAAACACTTAGGTCTTCGGCCTACGAAAACCGACCATCGAATATAGCTGCTTGCCCTGCTGGACCTGGCGCCGTTGGTGCTGCTTGCTGCTTGCCCTGCTGTGCCTGGCGCCGATGGTGCTGCTTGCTGCTTGCCCTGCTGGGCCTGGCGCCGTTGGTGCTGCTTGCTGCTTGCCCTGCTGGGCCTGGCGCCCTTGGTGCTGCTTGAAGAAGGCTGCCTTCAAGCCGCTAAGCGGCCCGAACTGAGCTGCTGTTGCTGCAGTTGCTGCTACCACTTGAACTCTGCGCTTAGGAGCCTATCTGTGGACACCTAGGCCCCAGTCCTCAGGCAATGCCGGGCTTGGAAGGCCCGGAACAAAAGGTGTCTTGGCCGGTGCTCCCGGGGCGCTCTGCCTGCTTGAAATCCAAGCGGAAAGGCAATGACGTTTACGGAGCCCCTGAGATGCCGGGAGGGATGGCGCCTTAGGCATCGCCCCGTTCTAACGTGTGCCGCTTCTCACCCACTCACTCACTCACTCATTCACGCACTCACTTACTATTATTATTATTTTTTTTCTGGTAATACTATTATCACTATTATTTCTGTTAACACTATTATTGCTATTGTTGCTACTATTGCGATTATTGCTATTATTATAAGCATTATTATTCTTCTTCTATTAATTATTACTATTATTACGATTATCACAATTATTAGTACTATTAGTATTATTAGTATTGTAAGTAATATAAGTATTATTAATGTTATTAGTATTATTACTATTATTTCTATTATTATTATGATTTTTATTACTATTATTACTATTATTACTACTATTACTATTACTACTATTATCACTATTATTACTATTATTACTATTATTACTATTATTACTATTATTATTATTATTACTATTATTACTATTATTACTATTATTAATATTATTACTATTATTATTATTAGTACCACTGTTCTCCTATTATCGGTGAGGTAG